CGCTAAAGAAGTTCGCATGAAAAGGAAAGATGCAAGTCAATATAGTACGATTCTGATATGAAGAATGTTTTTATTAGAAACATTAAATATGTATATATATATATATATATATATACTCTATTACGCGTGCTTTTTCTTCTCTAAAGTGGTGTTGGATTAATCGCGATGGATCTTGGATCCATATCTCCGTGGTTAAGCATCATATAGCCGTATCTTTATTAGTGGTACTCGGATGTTGTCACTCTTGAAGCTCACTTCATTGGCGTCGATATCCTTACCACTTATAACGCGGAATAGATATTAGATGACTCGATAAAGAAGATACGAGAAAGAAAGAGATAGAGAAAGTTTGATTGACGAATAAAAAGGAGATTCTTTGAAGGGTTATTTTTACATATATATATATATATATGTATATATATATATATAAATATAATTAGAGAACAAATATAAACACAAATGTCTATGACAATTGTTGAAGCGGAAATAATCATAAGAACTAATTTTTACGATATTTTGTTATTTCAATAATTGTCATAAATATTTACATATTTATTTTTGCATACTGGCTTTAATTAGCTTTTATCTCTTTACTGCAAGGAGATACAGAATTTCACGATATTGTCATCGCGAGCGAGGTAGAATTATTTTTGAAAGCTTGTTACATCCAGTTTGACTGCATTTAATTGTTTACAAGCGCCAGCAAGAGAAGATTAACTTAATCCTTTAATGTGACTTCAAAATAGCGTGCTACATCTCATCCCCTTTATGTTAATTTCTTTATATTATAAACTGCAATTTATGTTTCAGAACGTATATTTGTAGAAAAGAAATATAAAATCTAGTTTATGTGTCAAATATAATCCGGGGAAAAAGTAGGGAAGATGACTTTCCATCATGTTCAAATTTCGAAATACATAAAATGATCATTTCTCCAGAAATCCACGATTGTCCAGTAAATCTCACTGGAGCGGCAATATCCGAGACCCGCTTATTAGATTACGAGAGTTTAATGCAACTGCAATGCGCCGATTAGCAACACAAAACATTTCCTAATTTGCCCGGTGCTTAATAAAGCCCGGGTCATTTTGGTCCGGGCGACATTCCGGAAAATAGGAAATTTACTGTCACACTTCAAAATATGCAGTTTCTCGTT